TTCAGTGAAAAGACTACTTAGCATACGTACCATTGATGACATGGTCTCTGTGTCTTACTCCCATTGCTGTGGAGCTGAGGAGGACTGACTGAACCGTTTCAAACTCATCAAACTCAACTTCTCCATCACCATTGAAATCAAACATCTTAAAGGCTAGCTCAAAGTGTTTCATTGGAGCTAAAACAAGAAAAAGAGAGAGAGGGAGAGAGAGAGAGAGAGGGAGGGAGAGAGAGAGAGAGAGAGAAGAGATCAGATCATATCATATACATGTATAACTATGTGTATGTGACTCACTGGCTAATATTGTTAATAGAAACAGGAAATCAGAGAAAGAGATCAGGCCATGTTGACCTAACTTGTTAAAGACACTGTTACTATCCTCCATACAACCTAGACCCTCCTTCTCTATTGTCTTGAATAGAGAGGAGGAGAGAAAGGAGAAACAAAATACTACACAAAATACTAGAGAATTAGGGGCAATAATAATCTCATTTTAAAAATGCTCATAACTCAAAAAATTGAAGTCGGAATCAGCTCAGACTTTCTACAAAGTATAAGTACATCAATATGTATCAGAAAATGTAATAAAAATTTGGAGTGATTTCAGAGCCATTTTTCCGAAAAAACCATGGGCTATAGTACAGGGTACTTTTCAGATTTTAGGCATTTTCTTAAAATGGTCGTAACTCGAAAAATTGAAGTCGGAATCAGCTCAAACTTTCTATAAAGCATAAGGACATCAATATGTATCAGAAAATGTAATAAAAATTTGGGGTGATTTCAGAGCCATTTTCCGTATTTCTGTGGTTGCATTGTGCCAGGAGTGATAGCTCTGATGAAATCCTGTGGTGTCATATATATATTACGTATACAAATATTTTTAAGTGTTTGGTCATAACATAGATTTCAATTGATTTATTATCATTATTATTATTATTATTATTATTATTATTATTATTATTATTATTATTTATTGTGTCATCATCACTGCTGATGTTTTAATATTATTTTAGGAATTTAAATGTTAATGCCTCTAAGAGTCACAGAGTTATGCAGTAGTTTATGTCTTAAATTGAGTGAAAATTTCCACCCACGAGGTACACCAGCTAAACCTTAAACAATAATTTCATTTTTTAGAGAGTGAAATGTCATGAATATTATTAGAAAACAAAATATTTTTTATCACACTGAACGTTCTATGTATAATGTCATAGTTTCTAAAACTAAAAATAGCTAATAAAAATAGCTTGACTAATTAAAAGTGGACATCAAAAAATACTTTGTAAAGATTAAAACAAGTCAACAACTGATTCTCGTCTACCAAAATCAGAACTTGGTACTATTTCTCTTCTTTGTTGATCAACAGTTTTATGTGATTCAGTTACATCTAAAAGAGGATCATCATCTTCATCTTGTTTCTTGAACAACTTCTTAATTAGAGCATCATAACATTTCATATGTGATAACTGCAGGTAAAGATGATAAACAACAATCAAAATAAAACTAAAAATAAAAACAGATAAACAAGTATTGTACCAAATCAATACTTTACTGTCATCAGTAAAGGCTAAAGATAAAGAAGCCATGATGCACAAGTTTAGTAAGAACCAAAATTCTATGACATTGTTCAATTTCTTTCTGTACACACCACCAAAAATAAAACTAAGGGAGAGGATGATAGCTGCTACTGCCAATAGCAAGACACGTGATTCATTCTTCAAAAAGGTGACAGTTAAAAGTA